TTTTTTGTCTTTTTGAAGCAGGGTCTCCCTGTAGCCCCAGCTGTCCTGGAACTCACTATGTAGACCAGACTGGCCTTGAGATCACATAGATCTGCCTGCCTCTGCCTCCCAAGTGCTACGATTAAAGGCATGTGCCACCATACCTGGCTAATAATTGAATTTTTTGAGTGGGGTTTTGCTATGGTAGACCTTAGTGAGCTAGTACTGTGTAGATCTGACTGACCTACCTGAAGTGGCAGTTCTTATGAATCAACCTTCAAAGTACTGAGCTTACAGGTATGAGACACCAGACCCAGCTCAGTTGAAATAGTTCTCGTTTGTTTAGTCTGTTGTTTGTTGGTTTTGAGGCAGTGTCTAACTCTGTAGCCCAGGCTAGCCTGGAACTATGTAACCTAGGATGGCCCCAGATTCATGGGTTATCCTCTTGCCACAGCCTCCCAAGTTCTGCAATCATAGGCATGAGCCACAAATATTTCAATTGAAATATTTGTCTCTTTTTGGGGATAGAGTCTCATGCAGCCCAGGCTGATCTCAGACTTGCCATGTAACCAAGGATGACCTTGAACCCATGATCTTCCTGCCTCTACCTCCTAAGTGTTGGGATTACTGGCATGTTCCACCATGCCCAGTTTATAGGGTACTAGGGATCCAATCCAGGGTATCACATGTATTGTACTGAATGAGTTATACCCCAACCCATTTTACTTTCTTCTTGGGTTAGAATCAAAGTCCAACACTTTATTGTCTTGTCATTACTCTAGATTCCTTTGTCCTGTGTTTTGTCATCACATCCAGCTCTGCTAGCTGCCTCCACTGTAGACACTCAGCAATTGAAGTTACGCACGTATCAAGTTGCTCCCACCAGCTTTGTATGGATGTCTACCCATCCTGTCTGCTTCACCAAGAGCCTCTGACCCCCACATCTTAATTTCTCACAATTGAGAAATAATCTCAGTTCTTAACATAAAAATTTGATTTCTAGTATCCAGAAAAGATAGTAATAACAGTTGAGTTATTGAAGTTACCATGTGCTAGGTAGTTTCTAAGTCCTTCATATGTACTAATTCAGTTCATCTTACTGTAATACAAACAAGACACTTGGATTGCCACCACATTTTTTGTTTTGTTTTGTTTTTTAGTTTTGTTTTGTTTTGTTTGGTCTTTTTGAGACAGGGTCTCCCTGTAGCCCCAGCTGTCCTGGAACTCACAGAGATCCACCTGCCTCTGCCTCCCAAATGCTGGGATTAAAGGCTTGCGCCACCACGCCCAGCTGTGCTACCACATTTGTAAGTATTCAGTATTGCTATTTTGTTAGTAAGCCCAGTGGCCACCTTCTGGCTCAGTAGTGTTAGTTCTTTGACTTGGTGCAAGCCGTGGCCCTAAGCCAGCCTGCTCTCCCCGTTCTTCTTTCCTTGGGTCTGCACTTCCTGCTCCTTTGCTGCATGACCATACCTCCCTTGATCTGCCTAGTGGCCTCCTCTCAGTAAGACTCAGTCCAAAAGAGTAAGACTCCTCCAAAACACCTTCCCTGTCCCATTCCCCAAGGACTCTAATGGCCTCCTTTGTCCCTTCTTAGACAGAAGCATGCAGCACTTTTTTTTTTTTTTTTTGAGATAGGGTCTCCCTGTGGTGCCAACTGACCTGGAACTCACAGAGGTCCACCAGCCTCTGCCTCCCGAATGCTGGGATTAAAGGTGAGCACCAACACACCCGACCTGCAGCACTTTATTTTCATTGCAAACACTTTTGTCGAGGGTAGGAGTTGACTCCGAAGATGTCCTATAGTATTTGAACCCCACAGCCCAGTTGAGATGGGTAACATGCTCTTGTTAGAGCTGCAAAACCCCCGAGAATGCAAAGCTTTAAGGAGCTCCAGGAGACACTTGGCCGTGAGAATCTATGGATATTCCTTCCTGGGTCTCCTTCCCTCTAGCTGCCTTTGTTCTTTCAGTTACACCCACTTCACAGTCCTGTGCTTATAAAGCACTTTGTAGAGGCTGATGTTTATTTTGATGAGTGCTTTATTGGTTATGCAAGCATGATTTTGTACTGAACTTGATTCCAACAACATAGATGTCCAGAACATGGTAGGTCCAGGACAGTTCTCTCTCTGCCATACAAGCTTGTTTTTCCTGGGATCCGTTTCAAAGACTACCTAAATTCATGGGCACACTACTTTTTTAGAAATAAAAATAGGCGCTGACAAGATGGCTCAGCGGTTAAGAGCACTGACTGTTCTTGCAGAGGACCTGGGTTCCATTCCCAGCACCCACATGGAAGCTACGAACTGTCCTTAACTCCACTTCCAGGGGAATCCGAAGCCCTCTTCTGACCTCCACAGCATTGCATGACAAGGGTGCACTCACATACATGTAGGCAATGCACTCATACACATAAAATAAAAATAATAAATAAAATGTTTTTTTAAAAAGAAATAAAAATATTTCTGACTAAACAGATTTACAGTAACAACCATCTTCATGTACCTATTTTTAGTAACTTTTTTTTTTTTTGGTCTTTTTGAGACAGGATTTCCCTATAGCTCCAGCTGGCCTTGAACTCACAGAATGACTGTGAAGTTTTGAAAGTTACTGAAAATAAAGCCACCCTTTAAGACGGGCTCTCCCTGTGTTGCCCAGGCTGGTCTAGAGCCCCTGGACTGCAATGATCCTCCTGCCTCAGTCCTCCTTACCAATCATGAAATACATGTTTATCACATACTCACTCCCTGATTACCTCATGCCTGAATTAGCCAAAATTTCCCTGTCACTAAAAAGTGAATCACTCATAGCTGGCTTCCTGAATTCTCATGCCTCGTCTCTAATTCTATAACTTAATAGAAGAGGAAAACAAGCTGCACACATAAGTTTGCAGGGAGAGTGAGGTGTGAGCTCCTTTTCATTGGGTCCTTCATTTACTCTGCCCCTGAGACATCTCACTTGCTTCTTTTGCACTGTGGACCCTGTTTTCTTTTTTTTTTTTTCTGGTCTATTTGAGACAGGGTCTCCCTGTAGCCCTAGCTGGCCTGGATTCGCTATGGAGACCAGGCAGGCCTCGAACTCACAGAGATCCGCCTCCCTCTGTCTCCCGAGTGCTGGGATCAAAGGCGTGCGCCACCATACCCGGCTGCACTGTGGGCCCTTTAAAGCTCAGTAGCTTCTGATTAACTGTCATAGATGCTGCAACTGCTGTAGATTAAGATTTGTATTGTGTGTGTGCCTGTGTGCATGTGCACTGGGTTCCCGCAGAGGCTGGAAGAGGTTATTGGATCTCCTGGAGCTGGAGTTACAGGAGTTGTGAACCACCCAATGCAGTGCTAGGAAACAAACTCTTGTCCTCTGCAAGAACAGCAAACTGCTGAGCCATCTTTCCAGCCCTGTTTCTGAATTCCTAATGAATTTAGTTTAGAAGAACCTTAAATATTGGCTTCTAATGTAAAGCCAGCCTCTGAGGATATTTTTCAAGGTAAGAAATTTATCAGAGAGGGGTTTGGGGCTTTCTTTAGTAAACCTCTTTTGCAGGGCTGCATTAGGATGAGGTAGTTACTGACATACTGACGAGCACACTGCTGCATTGTGAGTGCTCAGGTTCTTGCTAACCCAGCCTTGGGTGTGTTTTCAGGTGGGGTGTCGCTATTAAACCCTTACCTCTGTTCTCATGCCAAATCTTTGTCAGCTGATAGAGAGGAGGGTTCAGTTTGAGTCAAACAGAAAGTAAAGTTGATGAACCTCTTACCTCCATGTTTTAATGTCATGTGTTAAATATTTATGGAATGTATGGATATGGAGAATAAATCATATATTTTTTTTGGAGGTTTTTGTTTGTTTTTTGAGACAGAATCCCACCATGTAACCTTGGTGACTTGGAACTCACTATGTAGACCAGGTGGACCTGGGACTCAGAGATCCGCCTGCCTCTACCGCCTAAATATTTGGATTAAAGGTGTGCCCTACCACACTCAGCTTGACACTTAATCTAAGGCTGTATTCCAAAAAGCAGTGGTTGTTAGTTCGTATACTTCTTTAAGAATTGATTTTTATCATGATCTAGATATCTTGTAATTTGTCCTTTCCATTTAGGTTTTCTCCCAATCTTTCCCTCAGCTCCAGTATGCTGCTCTGCTCGCTACAACTTAGCCGTTTTGGCCTTCTTTGGTTTCTTCGTTCTCTATGCATTACGTGTGAATCTGAGTGTGGCATTAGTGGATATGGTAGATTCAAATACCAGCCTGGTGGATAACAGAACGTCCAAGGAGTGCACAGAACATTCTGCCCCCATAAAAGTCCTTCATAATCACACGGTAAGTGCTAGTACTAAAAATAATGAAAGATTTGCCTTCATCAGACAGAAGACCAAAACATTTGTTTGCGTATTCTCTGGATCGTGTTCTTTTTGTGTTTTCTGAGGAACTAGTTGAATTGCTAACTTAACAGATACACTGCTGTGCTGCCATACACATTGATCTGTTTGGAAAGATGTTTTTCAGTTTCCTGAAGAAAATTTGAAAAAAACTTGTTTGGCACATCAAATAGTTGGATTGTTTTCAGTCTCGCTAAGGTCTACAGGACTGTAATTGGACACCTGTTTCACAGGATTACGGTTGCAGGACAGCTGCGGTAATCCCAGCTGCAGAGTAAGAAACCTGTCTGTTTCTTAGGGCATTCTTTTCTAAAAGGTCTACACGCCTGTCCTAACACACTTAACGTGTTCTGTCTGTCTGGTACAAGGTAAGTGTTCATTCTGTTTTCCAGTTGAGTGCTATACATGTACACACACATACACTATTTTTAAAGTATTTGTATTCTCTGATAATTTCATACAATGTAATTTTGATCATATTCACTCCTACTCCCCCTAATTCCTTTCAGATCCTCCCCCAAATAAGTTTCTTTTTTTTTTCCTATTTTTTCTTTTTCTTTTTTTAGACAGGGTCTTACTATGTAGCCCTGGCTTGGGCTGGAACTCACTATGTAGACCAAGGTGGCCTTGAACTCTTTAAAGATCTGCCTGCTCCTGCCTCCTGAGTGCTACGATTAAGCATATTCCATCACATCTGGTCCAATTTTTAAAATATTATTTTTTGGGTTGCGGGGGTGGGGGGCGTTGGTCATTGTGAGACAGGGTCTCCCTATAACCCCAGGTGGCCTGAAACTCACTATGTAATACAGGTTGGCCTCAATCTCACAGAGATCCACCTGGGCTCTGCCTCCTGAGTGCTGAGATTAAAGGCATGTGCCACCATGCCTGACTTTATTATTTTTATCTGTGTGTAAGTGTGTGCATGAATACGTGTGCCCACAGAGGCCAAAAGAGGTTGTCAGATTCCCCTGGAGCTGGAGTTACAGGCAGTTGTGAGCTGCCCTACCTAGGTGCTGAGAACCAAACTCCAAACCACTGGAAGAGCAGCAAGTAACCACTGAGCAATCTCTCCAGCACCCTCCCCCCCATTCTTTTAATTTAAAAATCGGGGGCTCGGCAAGATGGTTCAGCATCTTGATGTACAAGCCAAATGACATAAGTTCAATCCCTGAAACCCGCATAAACATGGAAGGGGTGAACTAACTCCATAAAGTTGTGTTCTGACTTCTACACACACACTGTGGCACACACACAACAATATTAATAATTTTCATTGAGAGCTACATACTTCAAAGGTTTTACTTTACTTTATTTAGCATTACTAATGTTGTTGAATATGTTAAGTACACATTACCTAGTTTCTCTACTTCAACCTATGACCTTCAATGTTAGGACTGCTGGACTGTTATGAAATAAAATTCCACAAATTAGCTAATTGGATAATACATGGTTTGCTTTGTAGCTCTCTTTGAACAAGTACATTGTTGACCTAACCACTTATGTCCATCAGCCTTACACAGGTAGAGAAAGGAAATCCTAGGATAGTTCTTGTCACAGTAACTGAGCCATGCAGCTCATGCATTAAAGATATTAAATCCATCACTAAATCTTCACTAGGATCTTCACTAGGGCTGCTGCTAGTTAAGACAGGTCCTGCCCACTTGGTTTGTAGCTTAGTGTAAATGCTTGCTCTTTGCTAATGTTTCATGTGCTTTCTTAAATGCTCGTTCTGAATAGGGTGGCACTATCTATAGTTAGACATGCTAGTAGCCAACATTAAATGACTACTTAGTGTGAACCAAGCCTTATTTTACTTAAACTTCCTAGATCATGTGCCCAGTGACTGAGTGTTAGGCTTAAATCCCAACTGGCTTCAGAACTTGACTCAGTGACTATAACATCCTGTTTAATAGCTTTGTGTGTGTGTGTGTGTGTGTGTGTTGTACATGTGTGTGCAAATGCACTCACCTGTACGTTCATGTGTGGAGTTCAGAGTTCAACAGCAGATACTGTCTTCTGTTGCTCTCCACCCTATTCTTTGAGACAAGGTCTCTTACCGAACCTGTAGCTTGACATTTTGACTAAATTAATTGGCCAGCAAGCCCCTAGGATCCTCCTGTCTCCACCTTCCCCCCAGCATTGGAGTTATAAGTATGCACCACTGCACCAGGCCTTTATGAGGGTGCTGGGGATCTCAACTCAGGTCCTCATATTTGCACAGCAAGCACTTTACTTGCTGTTCCATGTCTCCAGCCCCCAGGTAATAGCTTTCTGGATTAAACCCGTAGCTCTTTTTTTGAGCCTTCTTGGTCAGAATTGTTACAAAGCCTCTATAGCTCATCCTTTAGTCTCACAAAATAATGAAGCTTCTTGAAGTTTATGACCTTCAGTTCTTTTCCACTCACTTCTAGAAACAATATGTCTGTGTTGTGGTGACTCTCCTACCTTCTAGAAAGCTTGCATGTTCTGCAATTGAAAACAGCAGTTCAAAATTTCATTTTATATGTGTTTGCAGGAGCTACTGAATCGAGGTCAAGAGCATTGTTTCTTTCTACTTTTGACAGGGTAAAAAGTACCAGTGGGATGCAGAAACTCAAGGATGGATTCTTGGCTCTTTTTTTTACGGCTACATCATCACACAGATTCCTGGAGGGTATATTGCCAGCAAAGTAGGGGGAAAGCTACTGCTGGGCTTCGGGATCCTGGGCACTGCTGTCTTCACACTGTTCACCCCCATTGCTGCAGACTTAGGAGTCCTGGCTCTTGTTGTGCTTAGAGCGCTTGAAGGACTAGGAGAGGTAAAACTCCTTGTCTCTTGTTTTACTTCTGTATCTCATCCTCCAATCTTAAAGATACCATTCTTTGGTGTGAGTATGACCAAAAACTAACCCTGGATGGTAACAGACTAGAACAAAGATTAACTAAAAAGAAACCTGTGTAGTAGATGAGATGAGTAGATGTGACACTCAGAAGTTAGAAGTGTTTCTGAAAGACTGGAGAAAACGTTTTCTACAGAGCTGGTACTCATACTGTGGGAGGCAGGAAAAGGAACCACTGTACAATGGTTGCGCTGTTATTCATGTCTGTTTTTCCATTTGATTTTGTTTAGGTGCTGGGGAATCAAACCCAGGGCCTTGCATGTGTTCAGTGTGTTCTCCACCACTGAGCTACATCTGCAACCTCATTTTAAAAACTCTTATCATCTTGTCCTCTCCACAGCTCTTTTATCTTCCCATTTTTAAATAATAAATGATCTCTTTTCCTGTGAAAACTAGGCAGAGATTTATTGTAATTCCTTCCTGAACACAAAATGAATACTGGGTCCTGTCCTCTAGTATCAGGCTTCTTTTCTCCTTACCTAATATTTTATTTATTTTTATGTGTGTGAGTACTATGCCTACATGTATGGAAGTGCACCCATGTCATCACTTAGGCAGAGATCAGAAGAGGGCATTGGATCCCCTGGACAGGAGGTATGGGCAGTTGTTAGCCACCGTGTGGGCGCTGGGAATTAAACCCAAGTCCTCTGCAAGAGCAGTCAGTGGTCTTAACAGCTGAGCCATCTCTCCACCCCTAGGCTAGGTTTTTTTTGAGACAGAGTCTCTTTGTAGCCCCAACTGGCCTGGAACTCACTATGTAAACCAGGTGGATCTCAGAGATCCACCTGCCTCTGCCCTCACCCCCTCTCCAAGTGCTGGGATTAAAGGCATGGACTATCATGCCCAACTTGTGTATTTTTTTTATCCAAGTATTAACTCTTAAGCTAGAATTTAAACTGTGTTGGCCGGGCGTGGTGGCACCCCACCATTAATCCCAGCACTGGGGAGGCAGAGGCAGGTAGATCTCTGAGTTCAAGGACAGCCCAGTCTACATAGTGAGTTCCAGAAAAAGAATTTAAACTGTTTATACTTGATTTTTTCATCTTTTACCATTCTCCCAGTATATACCACACACCTCATCCTAAATTTAAGTTAGCATCTTTTATCTTCACCATCTGATTTTGGAGCTACCTTGTACTTCATCAGAACTGTCCCCCTCCCCCAGGGTGTTACATTTCCAGCTATGCATGCCATGTGGTCTTCTTGGGCACCCCCTCTTGAAAGGAGCAAGCTTCTCACCATTTCATATGCAGGTAACTATTCCTACAACTTTTGCTGTAATTTGTTACGTCCATACGACCTTGGGGGAAAGTACCTACCTGCCAGAATCGTGCAATAGTAACTGCTTCTTTGGTGGAGGGAATAACCTTTTAAGGGTACAACTTTATTTAATCAGTTTTTCTCTTTGGTTAATTGACTAATAACATTTTCCCTACCTGCTGTCATTTATCTCAAAGTATGTTGTCTTTTTAAATGTTAGTATTCAGAAAATAGCCCAGTAGATAGAAAAGATGAATGGTTTTGTCAGTTACGATTTCTAATTTGATTGTACAACAAGCATAGTATGACTTTCAGCTTCATGCATCTTTGTTCCCTGCATTAGTTTGTTATCATTTATGTTATATCACTGAGCAATGCGTAAGAGAACGTGAGCTTTATTTGTGAATTATAGTTTTGTTAGATTACATAAGAATTTTTTTTTTTTTTTTTGAGACAGGGTTTTTCTGTAGCCAGCTGTCCTGGAACTCTCTATGTAGGCCAGCCTGACCTTGAACTCACAAGGATCTGCCTGCCTCTGCCTCCCAAGTGCTGGGATCAAAGGCGTGCACCTGGCTTGATTTTCTTTCATTGATAAAATGGAAAACTTTCTAGCTGCTTGATTTTTTTTTTTTTTTTAACGTGTAGTGTTTTCTCTGCATGTGTATAAGTGCACCACATGCATGCAGTGCCCTTGGAGACCAGAAGAGGGTATCAGATCCCCTGGAACTAGAGTTACAGTTCTTTATTTGCTGCCATGTGTGGGTTCTTTATAAGAGCAGCCAATGCTCTTAACCACTGAGCCATCTCTCCAGCCCCGCTGACTGATTTTTAAATACAGTGATTGAGAAAGATTTGTTTACCGTGATTTTTTTTTTTTTAATGAATAAACTAGTCATGGACTAGGGGTGTAGCTCATTTGGTAGAGTGCTTCCCTAATATGCATGAGGCCCTGGTTTGATCCCAAGCACAGCATAAACTAGGCATGGTGGTACATGTCTGTAATCCCAGCACTTGGGAGGTCAGAGCAGGCTCAGCCACATAGTGAGTTTAAGGCCAGCCTGACTTAAGACCTTGTCTCAAAAACAAGCAATTAAAAAAAAAAAAAAAAAAAAAAAACTTAGTCATGCAGAGAACAGAGAGAAGAACATTCCAGCAGTCAGAACAACATGTGCCAGAGAGTTCAAAGACATTAAAAATCCCAGTGGGTGGCTAGGACATGATGAATGAAGAGGATGACATAGGCACTTTGACAGATAGACTCAAGCCAGGCCATGTCACACTTTACAGGCTACAGGAAGGAATACAGATTTCCTATCCCACCCCCAGATATCATGGGAAAGGATTAGAGGTTTTTAATCAAGTAAAAGACAGGATTCAATTTCTGTTTTTAAGAGACCATTCTTGTCTTGCAATTACGAAGTTAACACAAGAAATCTGATAATAAGTCCAAGAACAGGGACTGTCTGATTCTGCTTTCCTTTGGACGAAGTCCACACTGAGGGGTAGAGATTTCTTGCAGTCCTCACAAGCCAGCTGCAGCGAGGTTGGCCCTGGCACAGAGTTCAGTACTCAGTGACCATCCAATCTGATTTTCCAGCTACATCTTCATCTCTCTTCCTTTGGTTGTAGCAGTGACTTTCCCAGACCCACCTGCTCTCCTGCTTTGGGCTCCCGTGCCGCCACTCCCTCACCTCCCTTTCTTAGTTGCTCTGGGGCAGAATCTCAGCTACTTCGGTCTAGCTGCTGCTGCTTACCTCTTTCCTCACTTCTGAAGGTCAGACCTAATCTCTCTCATATTTGAGCTCTGCACTGCTCTATGGCTCTTATACTTCCTAATATATAAAAATCAGTGGTTTGTACCTATCTCCCACCTATGACTAAAATATGAGATCAGAAACAATATCTAAGTCAGATGTAGTGGTATGTCCCTATAATCCTAGTACCTGGGAAATAGAGGCAGGCGAGTTCAAGGTCCTCCTCAGCTGTGCATCAAGATCAGAGCTACCATCAGTTAACATGAGACCCAGTCTCAAAAAATAAATAAATAGTATCTAGTCAAGCAAGGTAGTTCACACCTGTTATCTCAGCATCTTAGAGGCTGAGGAAGATGATTGCTGTGAGTTTGAGGCAAGCCTGGGCTATATAGTGAGCTCAAGGCCAGCCTGGGCTACAGAATGAGACCCTATCTCAATTTTTAAAAATGAAAAGGAAAGCCGGGCATGGTGGTGCACGTCTTTAATCCCAGCACTCAGGAGGCAGAGGCAGGCGGATCTCTATGAGTTCAAGGCCAGCCTGGTCTACATAGTGAGTTCCAGGACAGCTGGGGCTACAGGGAGGCCCTGTCTCAAAAAAGACCAAAAAAAAAAAAAAAAAGAAAAAGAAAGAGGGAAAAATCTATCTTAGCTTCCATTGCATTTTACTAAGATGGCTTCCATTTGCAGGCTAAAATGAATTATTTTATTTATGAAACAATTGTTTCTAGTATAAATTATTATTATTACTATTAAGTTATGAAAAGCCTCATTCTTATTTCGGAGTTTGAGGCTAGCCTGGACTACATGAAACATTGTATTCTTTTTTTTTGCCCCGTTTTTTTGAGACAGAGTCTCCCTGTAGCCCCAGCTATCCTGGAACTTGCGATATAGATCAGGTTGGCCTTGAACTCACAGAGATCCACCTGCCTTCGCCTGCTGGGATTAAAGCATGCACCACCAAGCTGTGTTTGGCCTTGAATTTTGAACTTCCATCCTCCTTCATCAGCCTCCCTAGTGGGGAATCACAGCATATACCACCATGCATGGTGCTTATATTGATTGATGCCTCCTTATTCATCAATAGCTGCATAGTTGTAACTAATGTAACCACACTAATATGTGCTTTACACTTTTAGAGGTGATCCTGTAAGAGAGTGCTGGATTGTTCACATTTACACATACCTGCTTCCAGTTCAGTGGTTCCTTCTGTCCTTGATCTTGGTCCGGTTCCCTTTAAGCTGTAGACCTGGCCATTATTTCATCTTCCTCTAAAGTTTATAAAGCCTTATGTGTTGGTCTAGGAGCCCAGTTGGGAACAGTGATTTCACTTCCTCTTTCTGGAATAATTTGCTACTATTTGAACTGGACTTATGTCTTCTATTTTTTTGGTAAGTATAAAATTATAGCATAACAAATACAAATGGAATAGCAAGTGAATGATTATTTTTTTAAAATGTGTATTTTAGCTCCTAGCATCTTAACTTGTGAAACTGCATACCTGAATGCAGGAGTCATGAACTACTTGGCAACAGTAAAAGGTTTTTGAATACACAATGACCAAATGTTAATTCAAAATCAAACATGTGATGAATCTGAGGTGTCTCTGGCAGTGCTTGCCTATGTTGTATCATGTGCGTTTACTGTAGCCTAGGTTCTGAACACAGCATGCCCTTTGTACTGTGCATGTGTCACACCACACACCAGTGAAGGCTGCCTGAAACTGCTCAGATTCAGGGGCATTGTATGTTATGAATTGTAGTGTTTTTACTGTGCATGCAAAGTCTTCTGCTCTCCTAGAAACATGATGATTTATCATGGAAAACAAAAGGCTTCATATTCTCCTACTGTTATTCTTTATCGTGTATCAAGTTAGTCTGTGTTTGGATTGGATTAGAATAGATTAGGTGATTTTAAACTTGCTATTTGAATTACTGATAAGTTCATTTAAAAAAAAAAAATCACTCAATGCCAAGCAGTGCATACCTTTAATCCCAGCACTCAGGAGGCAGAGACAGGTGGCTCTCTGTGATTTCAAGGCCAGTCTGGTCTATATAGCAAGTTCCAGGCCAGCTGGGGCTACAGGGAGACCCTGTCTCAAAAAGACAAAAAAAAGAAAGAAAAAATCAATTATTGAGTTTTGGCTTGGGGTTAGAATAGAATTCCAAACCACTCATTTATTTTTATTTTTTGTATATGAGTGTTTTGTCTGCATGTATGTGTACCATGTGCATGCAGTACCCATACAGGCCAGAAGAGGGTGTCTGATCCCATAGAACAGGAGTTAAGGATGGTTGTTAACTACCCTGTGGGTGCTGGGAAGCAAACCTGGGTCTTCTGCAAGAGCAGCAAGTGCTTTTGACTGCTGAGAGCTGTTTGTTTCGGTTTTTTTGAGACAGGGGCTCCCTTGTAGCTACAGTTGGCCTGGAACTCACTATATAGACCAGGCTGGCCTTGATTCACAGAGATCCACCTGCCTCTGCCTTCCAAGCACTAGTATTAAAGGTGTGCACCACCACACTCAGTCCCACACAATTTTTAAATGTCCCTTAACATTCTTCTACCAGTTTGCAGTGCCTACATATGCAAAGTGATATTTAGCATTTACTGTCACAAAATCAAACTATCAGTCAACTCTGAAAAGCCATAAAGATGCTTTACATACTGCAGTATGAAATATTCATCCAGTATTTAATTATGTAAACATAAGCACATCTATTTTATTAGTATGCAAATTTTCTTTTATCTTTCATAAATAGTAAAATAATATGTGTACAAAGAACTGCTTAAAATTAATTGCTTTATGATACATTATTAGTCAACATTTGATTTGTATACCTGTTTTATATACTTATGTGCCCAGGGTTGTAAGAAAATTCCTCAGGAGGCAAGGAATTGTGAATAGAAAAGCCTTAAGAAGCCCTGGCCTAACTCAATGAAGTAATCATTGGCTGAACCACAAAGTTCAAAAACACTAGAAACTTTTCAAGTTGTCATGCTTGAAAAAATCTAGCCAAATTATGGCCAACTGCTAGTTTTGGAAAATCTCTCAATAGAAACTGCTGTTGAATCTTGGGCCTAAGTGTCACACTGAAACTTATTATCTGGGATGGCTGTAACAATGTGTTTTGAAAATAGTGCCCCTCAAGAAAAAAAGGATGACTCTCCCTTGAAGGGTCTAATCCTTTCCTTTCATTCAGTGTAAAGGCATCTCATTTCTCTAATTGATTAGCAGGATGATACATATCCTTCAATTATATTTTCACATAGATATTTCCTACAGGAAATGGATCGTCAATCAAAACAAATGTAGTAGACACTTGTGAGAAAATATGCATTGTACAAATTTATTCTTACAGGATTTTTCTTGTCCAGAATAGACAGTCCATGGTGACAGACTGTAGATTAATAATTGATTGCTGGGGCATGGGAAGAGAAGGGACTTAGACGACTATTAATTGGGTCAGGTTTTCTTCTTGGGTTATGAAAATGTTCTGAAATTAGTAGTTATATTTGCACAATGAAAAAAATGTGCTAAGCCTGAGAGAGGCACATGGATTTCTGTGAGTTCAAGGCCAGCTTGGTCTACATAGTGACTTTCAGGCCAGCTGGGGCTACAGGGAGACCCTGTCTCAAAAACATTAAAAAAAATAAATAAATAAAAAAGATTTGTCTGTGCCAAGAATTGTAGTTGTTGGGAAGTTGAGGTAGGAAGATCAAGAGTTTGAAGATAGCTAGGCTAAATAGAGCTCACTCTCTCAACAGAAGAAAAAGATTTGTCTATTGAGTCACACAGTTGAAAGTTTTCAGCAGAATATATAGGAAATGACTGCACAGTTACACACAGCTATAATCTTAGCACTTGGGTGATTGAGACAGGAGTTCAAAATCAGCCTGCTCTACATAGTGAATACTAAGCCAGTCAGGACCACCTAGCAAGACCCTCTCTCAAACCACCCTCCCAAATGCATAGGAAATAATAGTTGTAGCAATTCCATTAAAGATTTGAAATATGAAATTAAACTTAGTTTTACTTTAAGTTTATAGATATATAAACTTTTCAGTACATTTTTTATGCTGTTGATACCTTCAAAATTCACTGAACTGTCATTTTTCTATTTTAAGGTATAGTTGGAATAGTTTGGTTTATATTATGGATGTGGATAGTTAGCGATACACCAGAAACTCATAAGACAATCTCCCATTATGAAAAGGAATACATTCTTTCATCATTAAAAAATCAGGTATGGACTTTGACACATTTTAAAAATTAAGATACCAGCCAGATATGGTGGCACACGCCTGTAATCCCAGCACTCGGGAGGCAGAGGCAGGCGGATCTCTGAGTTCAAGGCCAGCCTGGTCTATATAGTGAGTTCCAGGACAGCCGGGCTACAGGGAGACCCTGTCTCGAAAAGACCAAAAAAAAAAAAAGTTAAGATACCAATTTTTTCAATAGATAATTTCATTGTACATGCCTTAGACTAATTAGGGTGGGCAAATGTGTAAAGTATTGCCTGAGGGATCCCAGTTCTTTCTTGACTAATGCTATGAAACATTACATCTCAAGTCATCCTAGGAACTGAGGGATGGTGGTGGTAAAGCATTTGTCTAGTATGTACCAGGCCCTGGCTTCACTCTCCAGCCTCCAAATAAAAGTAAGTCATTTTAAACCTTTAAGAAGCCAGATGGTGCCTATCATTCCAGCCCTGGCTAGGTAGAGGCAGGAGGATCAGGACCTTAAGGCTATCTTCGGCTATATAGCAAATTCAAGGCCAGCTTGGGCTAAGTGACTACAAGAGACCCTATCTCTAAATAATAAAAAGTAAGCCCGGCATGGTGGCGCATGCCTTTAATCCCAGCACTTGGGAGGCAGAGGCAGGCAGATCTCTGTGAGTTCAAGGCCAGCCTGGTCTACATAGTGAGTTCCAGGACAGCTGGGGCTACAGGGAGACCCTGTCTCAAAAAGACCAAAAAATTAAAATTAAAAAAAATAAAAAGTATATCTTTAGAGTAATTATTATTAAGTGAGTCATAAGTTTATTTTCCTTAATTGGTAGAAAACAAAACCATTATTTATGAAAGGACTCTTCTAGCTGCATTATAATCATTAATTGTCAGAAAATTAACTACTGTTTATATTTGTGTTTTATTTAATCTTTTTCTTTTCCAGTGATAGAATGGAACCTACAAGACTGTTCATGATAGGCAAGAGCTCTACCACTGACCTACAGCCCCAGCCCAACCTGGTGCATCTTTTAAAAAGATATAGATGCCTGTCACCTACTCCTAAACTATTTAATTGGTGCATCATTTTGCGTCCCCCTGCTCTGAAAGCCACATCTGCATATGGCTGCATATAAAGCCGTTGCCTAATTTTCACTCTTCCTCTTCCTGTTTTCTTCCCTGAGTTGGCATTGTGGTCCAGGCTGGTCTCCAACTCTAAGCTCAAGTCATCCTCCTGAAGAGACCTCCTGACTAGCTGGGTCTACAGGTGTGCATCGTCATACCCAGTTTGCACAGTTCTTACAAATTATTTCACTGAAACAAAGATTGGACTATGAAATATAAGTTCTAATAAGGCCTTCGAATCTCTTTCCTTTTTCCTTATGTCAGCTTCTGACTCTGATTATGAAACGGTTCTCCATTTTACAGAAGCATATTAAAGTAGCACCTGACGCTTATGGCTCTTAATGGCATTTATAACTCGATGTTTCTTTTCCTTTTCCTCTAGTCATAAATCTCCGTCATAGTTTCTCTAGTTTTTTTTGTTTGTTTGTTTTTTGTTTTTGGTTTTTTTGGTCTTTTTGAGCCAGGGTCTCCCTGTAGCCCCAGCTGGCCTGGAACTCACTATGTTGACCAGGCTGGCCTCGAACTCACAGAGATCTGTGTGCCTCTGCCTCCTGGGTGCTGGGATTAAAGGTGTGCGCCACCTCGCCCAGCCCTCTAGTTAGTATCTTTTAAGTGAAACAACTAAACAGTTATTATTTTGCCAGTTGGTATTTCAGAGGAGTCGGTTTTGAGATCTGGAATGTAGTAATCAAGTGGACATTGTATGTGTTCTGGTTGCATTGGAACCAATAATGTGTACGGCTTAGTAGTGCTGCAGCTTAGTGTCTCCTAATTCTGCCTGTTTTCTTCAGCTTTCTTCCCAGAAGTCCGTGCCTTGGATACCCATTCTAAAGTCGCTGCCACTTTGGGCTATTGTAGTTGCGCATTTTTCCTACAACTGGACTTTTTATACTTTGTTGACATTATTGCCTACTTATATGAAAGAAATCCTAAGGTTCAATGTTCAAGAGGTAAGAAATAATCATCTGCTTCTTATAATGAAGAATGTATTTTCAAAACTCCACCCAGAATGTTTTCATTTATAGGAAATGCAGTTATTTCATATCTTTATTCTCTGTTAAATTGTGTAGATCTGTGTGTGTGTCTCACTCTTGCTTTCTCTTGCTCTCACTTTATTTTAGATGTGAACAGCTGTGTAAGATGGGCCTTACCCGGAGAGAAGATTGTTGCTTTATTTTGGTTTTTTGAGACAAGGTCTTGCTATGTATCCCAGGCTAGTCTCAACCCTCAGTGTGGCCCAAAATATAGCCTTAAACTCCAAATACTCCCACCGTGCTGAGGCATAGCCGCCACACCTGACCATTTCTCTCATTGCTTCCACTGTTCCTTTTTTCTGTGTGTGTGTGTGTGTGTGTGTGTGTGTGTGTGTGTGTGGTTTTGGGGGGGGGTTGTTTGCTTTGTCGTTTTTAGTATTTTGAGACAGGGTCTCCCTGTAGCTCCAGCTGGTCAATGTAGACTAGGCTGGCCTTGAACTCACAGAGATCCGCCTAGCTGTGCCTCCCAGAGCTGGGATTAGAGGTGAGTGCCACCACCTTTATTATTGTTTAATTTGTGTCTGTGCATGTGAGTGCAAGTGCCCTCTGAAGCCAAATATGTCAGATCCCTCTGGAGTTGGTGTTACAGGTAGTCATAAGCCACCCTGACCTGATGCGATTAACTACTGAGCTATCTCCCCAGCCCTAGAATTATACTTGTAAAGCTGTGTAAGATAGGCTTTACATGAAGTTGCCTCTTAAACTTACAGATTTAGTCTGTTTCTGTGAACTCTACATATATGGGTTATTAGAAAATCTTGTCTTTAAAGAGATTGAGAAAAACCCTAAGGAGGGTTTATAAGTAAAGTTTGGTGGTGTTTTGCCTTCAGAGTGCAGGAAAATCTGAGGACCTAAATCTAAGAGCAAAGGTCCAAACAAAGAGAACTTAAAAAAGGGTTGAGGTGCAAAGATGGCTTATCCAGTAAAGGCACTTACTGCCAAATATGATGACATGAGTTCAGTCCCTGGACCCACGTGGAGGAAGAAGAAAACTCCCACAAGCTGTTCTCTGACCTCTACCCTCACAACATGGCACACACACACACACACACACACACACACACACACATACCACAGGCTTGCACACACACAAAATTAATTAGGGACTGGAGAGATGACTCAGTGCATCAGTACTCTTGTACTGGCTGTTCTTGTAGAGGATCCAGGTTCTATTCCCAGCACCCACATGAAGGCTAACAACCATCTGTAGCCAGTTCCACCTGGAACTCCAGTTCCAGGGGAATCCTATACATTCTTCTGACCTCTGTGGGCATTGCATAACATGGGTGCGCATATATATATGCAGGCAATACACTCATACACATAAAATAAAAATAATAAATATTTTAAAATGAAATTGAAAAAATAATTAATGAAAGACGGGGCAATGAAATAGCTCTGCTGCCAAGCTTGACAACCCGAGTTTGTCACCACACTCGCATGGTGTGAGAAGAGAACCTACTCCTTCCTGCAAGTTGTCCTCTGACCATTCCTGTGCCACGGCACACAAAAATAAGTATTAAATAATAATTGTAAAATGTTTTAGTGTAAAAAAGACAGGAAGGATATAGAAGAGGCACAGAAAGTGCTTGAAGCAGCAGCGAACTCCAGAGTAACATAATTACCCTCAGAAAGGACAGTGGTGAAAGAGCGGGGTGTCCCACCCTGTTCAAAAGTTCCGTTTCTTTCTCAGACTCAAGGCAGTCTCTTGACTGTGTGGCCCCTGCAGCTCCATGTCTGGCATCTAGGGCTCTTGGCATCATCTGATCTCCAGTAGGGTCAGTAGCCCCACCCTTCCAGCTCTGTTGTCTGTAGCTATTGTGGCCTCTCTTCTAGGCCTGCTCCACTCAGTGCCTGAAACTTTCCTTGGTGAACATCCTATGTTTCTAGCATCTCCAGTATCCTGATATCTCCACTGAAACTTAGAATGGCCAGGCATATTGGTGCACACCTTTAATCCCAGCGTTCAAAGGCAGAAACAGGTGAATCTCTGAGATCAAGACCAGTCTGGTCTATAGACCAAGTTCCAGGCCAGCTGGAGCTACAGGGAGACCCTGTCTCAGAAATACCAAAAGAAAAAAGAAGAGAGAGGGAAGAAAGAAGAGGGATGGAGACAGGGAGGCAGGATGCAAGAGGCTGCAGGATGCCACAGAGTCAATGCCAGCCTCAGTACAGAGTGATTTTCAGGCCATCCTAGTATACAAAAGTGAGACCCAGTCTCAGAAAATAAGGAAAAATGAGAATAGGATTTGAAAATAATTCTGTAGTTGCATAGAAACCCAGTTTTAAATGCATTTTTCCTTGAAAATCAGCATGTTCATGAGGCATTATTTGCTCAAAATAAAACTTGCTTTTGAGAAGCTTGTATTTTAAAATTGCACCTTAAACTCTTTGCCTTTTGTTTTAAGGTTGTTTTTTCATATAACTTTAGTTTCCTGACTTTTCCTTAGTTTTTCCTAATTGTTTTCTCTATCATTGCTTTCTTTTTCCTTTTCTTTCCTTTCCTTTATTTTTCTTTCACCTTTTAGACAATCTCATGAAGCCCAGAGAGGCCTTGCACTCACTGTGTTGCCTAGGACGACCTTGAACACCTGATCCTCCTGCCTCCCCCTCCCACAGGCTGGCATTATATGGGTGTGCACTCAGTTTTATTTGTGTTGAGGATCAAGCTCAAGGCATCATACATGCTTGGCAAACACTCTGCCAACTGAGCTACACCTCCAGTCCTCCCAGTCCCTATTTCTTACAGTTCATCAAGAGTTGTGATACCCATCACCCTCTTTTAGATGTATTTTTTAATTCCATTTTTAAGTAGTAAATATAAAGAATCATATCCTTGAAAAGAAAACTAGAAGATGTCCATGAAATGTGCAAATGTTTATTACTTTTGCATTGTTCAAAGCTGGCCTTGAACTCACTATGTAGCCAAAGCTGGTCTTGAACTCCTAATCCTCCTACCTCCACCTCCCAAGTGCTAGGATGACAAGCCTACACCACCCACCTCGCTGAATTATCAGTCCTATCCCACCAGGAGATAAGGTCAAGCTTAGGAAATTCAGCTAATATGCTAGAGTTTATTTACATGTAGTATTCTTCCACAAATAGCAATAGATGTAATCCTACAGTGGAGAAATCCAAATGAAATAAAATTAATAGAGTAAATTATTCAGCTAAGCACTGAGAAATAGAAGTGTTTACTCAGAAATAGATCTGGAAGCATGCAGCACATGAATAAGGAGGGTCACATTTTTATTTCTGTGGGTGTGGGTGTGGGTGTTAGGGTGTGCCACATATGTACACTTACCCTTGGAGTCCAGAAGAGGGCATCAGGTCCCATGAACCATCCAACATGGATGCTAAGAACTGAACCCTGGTCCTCTGAAAGAGCAGCAAGCCCTCTCAACCAGTGAGCCATCTCTCCACTTAAATTTAAAACTCAGATTCACCCAAAGGAGATTTTCATTGTCAAAAGTAATTTCAGGGCATGGTGGTGCACACCTGTCATCTCAGCACTCAGGAGGCCAACACGGAATCACAGCAAGTTCAAATAAACATAGCAAGTTCAAGGCCAGCCTGAACTACAAAGTAAGCTACTCTTTCAAAAAAAAGTTCTGTGAGGAGCTGGAGTGATGGCTCAGTCGTTAAGAACACTGGCTGTTCTTGCAGAAAACCAGGTTTGAATCCCAGCACCCACATGGTAGGTAACAACTATCCATAACTCCAGGTCCAGGAGATCCAGTGCTCTTGTCTGTCCTCCTTGGGCATTGCACAACATGGGTGCACTTACTTACATACATGCAGACAATACACATAAAATAAAAATAATAAATAAAATATTTTTTAAATTGGGGGGACTGGAGAGATGGCTCAACAGTTAAGAGCACTGGCTGCTCTTTCAGAAGACCTGAGTTCAATTCCCAACACCCACATGGTGGCTAACACCCATTCATAACTCCAGTTCCATGGGTTCCGATGTTGTCTTCTGACCTCCACAGGCATTGCACAACACAGGTACACCTACCTACATGCAGGCAATACACTCATAAACAAAAAAAAATTACTTAAAAAAAAAATTTCTTTTTGTTTTTTTTTGTTTTTTTTTTTTTTTTTTTTTTTTTTGGAAAGGGTCCCCCCTTAGCCCCCGCTGTCCTGGGACTCCCTTTATAGACCAGGCTGGCCGCGAACTCACAAAGATCTGCCTGCCTCTGCCTCCCAAGTGCTGGGATTAAAGGCATGTGCCAACAAAGTTCTGTGAGTCAGTGACCAGGGAGAGAATGAGGCAGGGCATGATTGCCTGGCACCATTGAGACCCACTTGAGTTTTATACACCTGAATCTAAAGCAAAATAAGTCATTAGCCAGGTATAGTGGCACATACTTTTAATCCCAATACTCAGATGGATTTCTGTGAGACTTAGGCCAGCTTGGTCTATATAGCAAATTCCAGGCCAGTTGAGGCTACAAGGAGACCCTGTCTCAAGACAAAAGCCAGGGCTGGAGAAATGCCTCAGTAGTTAAGACCACTTACTGCTCTTCCAGGGGACCTGGGTTCAGTTCCCAGCACCCACATGGCAGCTAGCAACTGTCTGTAACTACAGTTCCAGGAAATCCAATGCCTTCTTCTGGCCTCTGTGGGCATTGTGTGCATGTGATACACTTACATACATGCAGGCAGAATATTCATACACATAAAATAAAAATAATCAAAAAAAGATTTTTGGCTTTTGGTCTTTTTGAGACAGGGTCTCCCTGTAGACCCAGCTGGCCCGTAACTCACTACGTAGACCAGGCTGGCGCTCTTTAGAGGTGTTTTTTTTTTTACATCTTATTTACTTACTTATTTGTGTATGTGGTTATGTGCACACATGGGAATTGTTTGTATTTTTTGTTGGTGGTGGTGGTCATTGTTTTTTGTTTGTTTGTTTTTTAGTAAGAGCTTTATTATGTAGCTCTGGCTGACCTGAGCTTTTTGTAAACCTAGCTGGTCTCAAACTCAATGATATCCCTCTGTCTCTGTTTCTGGAGATCACACTGCACTCACTGATCTTTTAGAAATGAATCTTAGTTCTTTTGAAGACAGATGCAAAAAAAAATTGGAAAGAATTCATAGATTTAAAAAAAACATCAGGGCTGGAGAGATGGCTCAGTGGTTAAGAACACTGGCTTTTCTTGCAGAGGACCCAGGTTTGAATCCCAGCACCTATATGGTAGCTAACAACTGTTTGTAACTCCAGTTCTAGGGGATCCAATGGCCTCTTCTGCCCTCCACGGGCATTGCATGACACAGGTGCACTTACCTACATGCAGGCGATAGAGACATACACATAAAACAAAAATAATAAATAATTTTAAAAAATAAAGACATCAGAATTTCTTAAACTAGAAACTCAATTATAGTTTAGTCAGTACCAAACTGTAGTGTCTAGGGGCGCATATTTGGATGAAGTAACTGGAGATAAATGTATGAAACCATAGACTCAAGTGGTGCTTGCTTACAGAGAGAGGTAAAGAGTTGTGACTGGATTGGGACAAGGCCTGGGTGGCTGGTGGTATTCTACTTCTTGACAGATGGTTCTGAGAATTGCCTGTTCATTAAGCTGTGCATTTGATGTGTGTTCTTTCTGTGTATATTTTATTTTGTAGTAAAAAATATTTTAGGGGCTAGAGAGATAGCTCAATGGTTAAGAGCACTGACTGTTCTTGCAGAATACCCAGGTTTGAATCCCTGCACCCACATGGCAGCTAATAACTGTCCATAACTCCAGTTCCGGGGATCCAACAGCCTCTTCTGACCTCTGCAGGCATTGCACGACATGCGCGTACTTACCTACATGCAGGCAATACATGCATACACATAAAAATAATAAATAAAATTTTTTTTAATATTTTAAATAAAATTTTGGAGGCAAAAAACTGTTCTGTAGCTAGGTGTGGTAGTGCACAGCTGTGATCCCAGGTCTAGGCAGGTGGGGGCAGGAAGAAGGGGAAACAAACTTATTCTATAGAAATGACCCATAGACTAATCGGAAAATTTACCTTGTCCCAAATTCAAAGTAGTGTCCAAGATTACCTTGAACAGACAGTGTGCACTGTTTCAGAGATGCATTGAGCTAAGTCCCATAATCCTTCCTAAAGCCAAATTTATTTCCTGTGGTTATAGAAACTTTACCAACACATTGCTATCTGTTTTCTTTTGTTGGCTATAATATCTCTCTCTCTCTCTCTCTCTCTCTCTCTCTTCTCTCTCTCTATCTCTCTCTCTCTCTGTGTGTGTGTGTGTGTGTGTGTCTTCTACCATACTTAATCTTGTATCTTCTTCCATACAGAATGGGTTTTTATCTGCACTACCTTATTTTGGCTGTTGGTTATGCATGATTCTATCTGGTCAAGCTGCTGACAATTTAAGAGTAAAGTGGAATTTTTCAACTCTAAGTGTTCGAAGAATTTTTACCCTTATAGGTAAGTGAAATGAATCAAGTTATATTTTGGTTATTGGGAGATAGGAAATAAACACAGTGATTTTTCAGTCACTGATAACACAATGTTAAACTTCAAAACACTTTGGGTCTGATCAGTAAAATGTAAAGTTTTTCCCACACAATCAATTATGCAGCAGACACCAGCTGGGTGTAAGGGCTAAATCCCACAAGACTGCCCTTTCCACTTGAGATGCTAGGCACAAGAACTAGGTTGTGACCTCTGCTTTTAACTAACTATAAATAAGGGTCCCTGGGGTAGGAGAGATGACTCAGCAGTTAAGAACACTGGCTGCTCTTACACATGGAGGCTAACAACTGTCCATTACTCTAGTTCTGGGGGATCTGATGCCTTCTGGCTTTCGTGGGCATTGCACAAATGTGGCACACTTACATACATGCAGGCAAAACATTCATACACATAAAAGTAATACTTTTTTAAAAATTTTAATTAGGGTTCCCATGACCTGTCTTCAGTTTCTATTAATTTACTAGAATGTGCTGGTGCCAGAGGACCACTTGGGCCCAGGAGTTTGAGGCCAGACTGGGTAACATAGTGAGACTCCATCTCAAAAAGAAAAAAGATTGAGAGCCAGAGCTGGTGGTGCATGCTTGTAATCACAGCAGTTGGGAAGTAGGGGCAGGAGGATCAGAAGTTCAGGGTCATCCTCCACTACATAACAGGTTCGAGGCCAGGCTGGGCTACATCAGACCCTGCCTCAAAAAACCAAGAAAAACATACTATGTCAGGGCGCTGGTGCCAGTCTCACCAATCACCAGTCATTTCATTAGCAAACAAAAGACAGCCTTACCACTCCAGGAATCCCCATGGTGTTAGGAGCAAAGACAAGAATGCATTTCTTTCATCACAGTAATGCAAGGCAACAGGAAAAGAGTATTTGTTTTGTTCACATTAAAACACTATGATACATTTAGCATATTTCTGTGTAAGACAATTCTTTTTGAACCATGTTTTTTTTGTTTGTTTTGTTTTGTCCTTTTGAAACAGGGTCTCCCTGTAGCCCCAGCTGTTCTGGAACTCACTAGACCAGGCTGGCCTCAAACTCACAAAGATCCACCTGCCTCTGCCTCCCAAGTGCTGGCATTAAAGGTGTGCACCACCACGCCCAGCATGAACCATGCATTTTGATGATTAAGATTTATAATATCCTAGTATCTCCATCATAGTGCTAGTACAGAAAATGGTTTTACTATCTCCAGAATTTTATAGATTGGTTTATTAATTTGCAATGAAAATATTTTAAGCCTCCATCACCTTTCTAAACTAGTATACTTTGAATTTCAAAAATGTTTATTAAAGCTGGGCATGGTGACACATACCTTTAATCCCAGCACTGGGGAGGCAGAGCAGATGGATCTCTATGAGTTTGAGGCCAGCCTGGTCTACATAGTGAATTCCAGGCCAGCCAGGGCTATATATTTGAGATCTTGTCTCATAAAAGGATTATTAACATCACTTTAACAAATGAGGAACTATAACTCAGAAATCTCAGAAGAGCTGGGTGTGGTGTGGTGGCACACACCTTTAACCCCAGCACTTGAGACAGAGGCAGACAAGTCTCTATGAGACTCTGAGACTGAGACCAGGCTGGTATATAATGTAGTGAGTTCCAGGCTAGCTGGAGCAACAGGGAGATCCTGTCACCAAACAAAAGGAAAAAAGTGAAGTGAATTTAGAGGATGGAGATGGCTCAGAGGCTAATAGCGTATACTACTCTTATAGAGGACCCGAGTTTGGTACTCAGCACCCACATGGCTTCAGGGGATCCAACACCCTCTTTTAAAGTTCCTAGGCACCAGCCCTCACGTGCAGTACCCATACATAGATACACAATACACATAATTTAAAGTGTTTTTTAAAAAAGAAAGGTGAATTTTAAAATTAAGACAGTTACTCAGTTGTATTGAAGATTTCCAGTAGAGACCCTGGAAGTTACTGTTTCTAGATAGAATCTCTGTGTAGTCCCAGCTGGCCTGGAACTCACCATGTAGACCAGGCTGGCCTTGAACTCACAGAGATGCCCCTGCCCCTGCCCCTGCCCCTGCCCCTGCCCCTGCCCCTGCCCCTGCTGGGATCAAAGGCATGCACCACCATGCCCTAACCCAGAAATATATTTTTTTTCTATTTTTTAATAACTACATGATTAGAAGAAGCATTTCATTACAGCTTTAACATATTCAGCAACATACTCCAGAGCAAAAGTACATCTCTTTCACAACTGGCTGTAGGTTCTAGGTTCACAGTTGAATTAATACAGTTATACAATATTGAACTCAGTATAAGCCCTGTAAGACATAAAATTGAATGAGTTTCTAACCTTTAAAAAAGATCTCCATTTCATTTTAGAATATATTGTTCCTTGCAGACAGACTCATTGTTTTGGCTACCAACACTGAGATGTTAGCACATGCATCTCTAATCTGTATGTGTCTGATTATTACTAGTCATAAGCAGTTGCACTTGGATCCTTGGCACCTGTGTATGTCTATAAAGTCATCGGGTAGATTTCAATAGTAATGTTTATCACCTTTACTAATTAACATGACATAAATTTCCATGCTTCCTCCTCAAATATAATACATTTTTTTAATTTGTTGATTTGGGGGGCGGGGGTGTGCATGTATATCACACAGAACATCCCAAACCACCTTTTTCAACTATACACCCACTTCCCAGATGGCACCCTCCCATAGCCTCCCTCCCCCCACTAGAGCCCTTATACTCTGATATCCCTGCTACTGTCTGCTGTGTGGTTGGCACCCCCAGCCATTCCCCACTACTTGCC